ATTTACTTACTTTCTAAACATTTTCTTTGATGGAAAATATTTCTATTGTAATTATATTTTGCCTATATATATATATATCCAAGACTTCTATACAGTACCTGAGCTAACAAGGAGAGGACACGACTTAGGAAATTCATTTGAGGACGAGACTTGGTGTAATAGTAGTACTTCTTTAGCGTGTTCAACCCTCAATGTAATTCCAACAAATGGCCAATCAATTCAGAGAAAATAGCCTTCGAAATTCATGTTTAACTCTTATACAATTAAGTTTTAAATTCCTACAACGAATGATTAGCATGGTTGAAAGAACGCCTGCATTCTATGCGTGCGGAAATGATTTGAATCACGCTATTAACCTTTTTTGCAATTCATTTAATTATTTTTAATAATTAAATAAATTTATTTATATATATGAAAGGTTTATTAAATATTAAATTTTACTTAATGTAATTATTTTGTATTTTATAAAGTAAAAATCTTACTGTCATTATATAGATATTTATATCATATTTTATAATTATATTTTTATATTAATAAAAAATATTTATAACAAAATATATTATAATAAATATTAAATGATATTTTGCATAAAAATTAGTTACAAATAGTTTTTAATGTGAAATATAATATATTCTAAGCAAAATAGTATGCATAATATAAAATAATCTATAAAATATATTATTATTATTATTAAATTAATTAGTATATAATTATATAAAATATTTAATATAACTATAAAATAATTAAATTAATAATATATAAAAAAGACACATTATTTCTATTTTATTAATTGTAAAATAATTATTTTAATAATAATAAATATTTTTATACGTAATAACAGAAAGTTTTTTTTTTTACTTTATAAAATACAAAATAATTACATAAACTATAATTTAATATTTAATAAACTTTTCATAAATAAATTCATTTAATTTACTATTACACCAAATGTCGTCCTAAAAGGAATTTCCTTAGTCGTGCAATCCCCTTGTAAGATTTTTGACACTCGTATTATTAAGTGAATTTATATTAATTTAAATAATAACCGATGTTTTTTGTTAAAACTTATCTCTGCTTTCCTTCTGATATATTAAAATATGAATTAATCCACTCCTAAATTTTTCATTGAAGTTATTATTATATATGAAACGCCTATTTCAGTCTCTGCACATATGTCTTAGCTATGTATAGGAAAATTATTATTATCAAAAAGTATTTTTCACAAAAGAAAAACGCTTTGAAAATATATCATGCTTTTTCCTTTTTTATCATTAAATTGCATTTAAATAATTTTTTCTAGTAACTTCTCTTAAGAAAAAATTATATGTATTTTCTTATGTATTATATTATTATATGTATTTTCTTATATATTATATTATTATATGTATTTCTGTATAAAATTATATGTACTTACCATATTAGATACCATAGCTAATTATTAAATTGGAATACGTTATCATTTTTTTTTTGTAATAACTGACTTTAAGTAAGTAAGATTTAGTAAAAATCGGCTGGGTGGTGTGGTTGGTTTGTTGCTTAAGGATGCGGGTTTGACTCTGGCCCAATTCGATGGATTTTCATGATGCAGGACACCAACAGCTGCCATGTCGTATGATTATACGGCATGTAAAAGATCTCTAAGGGGTGCTCTAGGAAAAATAAAAATCCTAGTACATATTCGCCTCGTCAGAGCTCAGATGTTTCCCTCTAGGGGAAAACTGGGCGTCAAAATTACCAGAGGCGATTGGTATCCGCCTATATGACGCCACACTAAAACGAAATACCTGTTTTCGATGATGCACTAGGTAGATTGATGAACTCTGTTAATAACTATTCATAATCTACCATTAGAAAAAAAACATTTAGTAAAATAGTATCTATGATTAATGGATTACATTTTAAAAATTAATTGAAACACTCTCATTCTATTATACTGTATCCATTAACTGATACACTATCTGTGTGTGTCTATTATATCATATATCCATCGGTATGTCTAGGAATTACATATTCGTGATAGTTTTGAGGTATCCTACTAGGTTGAAAATATGCTTTTTAGGTGTTTGATGTTTGGTGTTGTTTGGGTTGTTAGGGAAAAAAGAAATAAATTATTGAGGTAGAAGAACTAATACATAAAACTAGAGAGTTTTTTAAGTTCTTTTTATAGCATTTACTTTATTTCTAACTAATAAAAATATATTTTTTAATTCGTTTTTTTTTTGAAGAAGGAACTTTCATGATAATGTGTGCACTAAAAATGGGATATCTTCTAAATAATCCAATTAAATGCAATGAAATTTACTATATTTATGCTTTGGGCCCTTCAGAGTGTAACAAACCCCAGATTTTAAGACAGTTACATTTAATCACATTTTACAGCCATTTTTACTTAGAACATGCAGTAATTTTGACGAAAAATCATGACCCTCAAATTTAAAGGCTAATGAAATATTTATTTCTTAAACTATTTTTTATCCTGCGGTTTGTGACACTTCAGAGGGATCAAGAAGTATATTAATGACGTTAAAATTGCATAATGTTCATTTTATTTTTATTTATCACGTTTTTCTTAACTTAAAAAAATTTGCTAAATTTTCCTAAAAATATTTTTTTTTCAAAAAAAGGGCGATCCATGTTAATTATTTAATAGTTATGACTTTTTAAGCCTATTTATGTTCTTTAAAACAATAAAATTATTTAGAAAATCAATTTTTGAAAAATTTATCTCCGAACCTAGTCGGATACCTTAAATAAAATGAAAATACATATATGTTTTACAATATATTTATTAAGGTGATTCACTTCGAGTATTTATAATATTTTAACAATTCAAAATTAATTTATTGATTTAGTGTTTTAGGACCGAGTCGCCATGGCCACGGTCTTGTAGCCGGCGTGTCATGAATTCGAGTCCTTGTGTAACTGAAAACTCGTTTTGTAGAGGGGCTGATGTACGTTAAATCTGTCGAGGCTCAAAAGGGAGGCCTTCCACCCTTTGAGGTGGTGTAGAAGTTCTGAGAGGGAAGCTCCAGCTTAGATGTCAATCTTGTCATTTGGCCATGGTTCAAAATTACGAAGCCCTTCAACGAAAGCCAATGTGTTGCTTTATAATGCAATGTTGATAAACCTCACTCACGAAGACAGGTAAAGTTATTACTTTAACCTAATGGCACAATCTTTACAGATACAAAACTGCAGAACTCAAACAACTTTTTGACTAGTTTATTTCTAATCATTTACATCATCTCTACAATGAAAGATATATTAAAAGTAAAACAATTTTAATCTTAATGAAACTTACAAGTGTTTTTAATTCAAATACAAACTTGGTCAACGAAATCAAAATTATAATAATAATAATTGAAATTGTGAAAATCAAAATATGTACACATGTGTAGCTAGCATAAGGGTGTAAGTGCATACAAAATAAATTATAAAGAATTTTTACAGTATGTAAATATATAACATTTACTAAATATTCTGGTATATGAGTCCTTAATATGGTCTGGTTATGACTTAATATTGGTTTATTTTGTTACAAGAACTATTGTTTTTAAAATAATTCTTATTGCTTAAAAGTATAACCCTGCAGTTTTAAATTAGAAATTAAACGGCACTAAGTAAGAATTTTCATGTTGATAGGTCAAAAATCTGTTCTCTAGCTTATCTGTTCAGTATTTTCAATTTGTTAAAGTAAAACACTTCCGTCAAGCTTTCTCTAACATAAGCAATGCTTTTCCTTAAAATAAAGTTGCTTAAATACAAAAATTCTATTGCTTAATAAATAGTATATTTTAGAATATTTTCTTAAGGAATTTTCAAAATTTATGAATAAATGTTTCATGTTTAGCTTTATTCAGTTACTATTCTGGCAACCAAATCAAATATATTACATACTGCACGACGAGAGGAGATAATTTCTGAATTTATAGAGGAATTCTGCGACGAAAGGCATTCGTATTTCCTTAAAGAAATGGAAGAATGAATGTAAGCAAAGCGAAGACAAAAACGTATGTAAGAGAATAATAAAACATCATAAGCCAGAGTATGCTATGAATGTATTTTGATATAAAATCTCCTGAACCAGAGAAATGAAAGTAATTCATCGCTTTCAGAATATAATTTATATCTGAAACGAGGAAGAGTGGTTACTTCCAAGTAGAAATTTTAACGTTGCTTTTTACGATGAAAAAGAGAAATAGAAGATATATCATGACTAACTTTATTGATGAAAATGCTGCTTGTCAGAAGAGCTAGAAATAATGGTTGAGATCTTACCTTTGTAATAGAGCAATATAAAGCAAGATAACTTTATTAACTAGTAATGGTTATGATGATAAAATAATAATGAACTAATTAGTGAAGTGAATAATTAGTATGTTGCATTGGCCTGCTGATACAGGGGTATTTGCGTTTTAGATAAATACAAATATCAAAATCTTAAATGTGTATTTGGTTAATAAATTTTGTTTAATATTCCTTGTATGTTAAATATAAGTTATTTCGTAAATTGTGGCAATATTATTAACTGTTGTCCGTCATTGACAAGAAATCTTCTTCATAATGACTTTCTTAAGTATTGGAAAACGATATGAATTATATAGTTAAAGAATTAAATAGCATATTGTTCCTGAAGTAAATATTAATTTATAATTCTAAACATATATGTACTTAAAAAAATGAAGTATTTGAGAACAGATGTTCCAGGTTCATTATTTCTGATTGGATTTAGTTGTGCATTCTCTATTACATTGTTCAATTCCTATATATATATATATATATATATATATATCTGGTTCAAATTTTTAATCGTTAATAACATACTTTTTATCCATCCACTCAAGCTGAAATACATTTTTTAAACTTGTAGTGGATAACACTTGATGTTAGTAGAGTGTTTTCAAATATTAATTAATTAATTATCTTTAATTAATGAATAAACAGAAAGAAACAAAAATAATAGACCAACACCATATATAAAAAGGAAAATCACTCGTTATGTCCCTGTAGCGCAATTTATACCGCGTTGAACTTCTAATCCAAAGATTGTGGGTTCAAATTCTCCTGGGATGGTCTAATTTCTGTGAATGTGATTTATGAATGAATAAATAGTAACAGACAAAAACACAAATTCAACAACATATATAAAAAGAAAAATAGCTTTCTATTTTGCCACTTAATATTGTGATTCTGTTATATGTGTATGCATATTTATATTGATTGTAATTATTTAATAAAAGTTACAAAAATAAAAATTTTCTTTAATGACCTAATTAGGAATAGAGTTAAAAAAATTTATATTGTTTTTTAAAAAGCTTACATCACATAGTTATTTTATGTGGTACGTTTTTCTTAAAGGTTCATTAAGTAGCAATTTAAATTAAATGATCAGTTTTAATTTGTGTTAACTTAAATTAAATTATAAAATATATTAAAAAAGTTAATGCTTGATATACAAAATGATACTTCAAAATATCTTGAAAAAAGTATGAATCTTCACTGCTCTAAATAAATGATAAAAACACTTTTTTTAATCAAAATTTTCCCCTGCAACTTAGGATAAAAAGTAATTTATATTATTGAATTTATGGTCAAATTTAAAAAGTCAGAATTGAAATAGTTAGAACAATAATAAGTGAGAAAGTGACAGGGAGAACTCAATTTTGAAGCTATTATTTTATACCATAAAAAAGCATAATTCATACAAAAATAATGTTCAATAACGCTTTAAAGATTTTATTAGATAATATAACTCAATGCGATTTTCAAAAATGCAGGTTATTAAAAGAAAGTTAAATTCAAAATTTCATCAAACTGTAATATAAAACTGCACTTTAATGACCTATTCTAATTTAAATAGAATAACTCAATAATCCAATATTTTAACTGTATAAATTGGTATTTTGTTCATAATTATTCTTATTACTCCTTTTTTTAAATTTTATCAAAGCTTTTATATTACATCATTTTCCTTTATCAAAGGCAAAAATTAAGTATGAATAATAAATCTGTACTATTAATAATAATAAGAGAAACGAATATAACTAACGAATTTTTATGGAATGTATGTCTTTTTTACAAATCTTCAAAAGTTTCTTATTTAAATTTTATTAATTCACTTACATGCGAAAAAATCTATTTAAATTTTATACATTTAACTAAAAAGTTTCTTTTAAATCCAATACATCTCACTTTTATGATAAAATTTAAAGATACGTTTCACATTATTTTTTTTTCAAATAGTACTTTTCAATAATGTAAACTTAGAGTTTTCGATTAAAATGTATACCTTAATCCATGTTAAACACAACAATCCTTTTTTTAAAAAGATAAAAACTGTTTCTTGCAAAATTCTTATAAATTGAATATATATTTTTGAATCTATAAGACATGAAAAGAAAACGTTGCAAAGTAGAAAATTCTAATGTAATTATAGTTTTCTCTTGAATAAAAGATCAAACAGAAATAAAGATTCTAGTATTAAGTAGCAAATAAGTAGTTACATTTTCTAATTGTTTTCTGAAAGCTTTTTTTTCAATTAGAATTAAAATTTGATATATTTTATGAAGTTAGAAAAATGAAAAACTTTCATAAGATGTTTTCTTTAAATATAAAATAAAAAAAACAAACATAAAAACTATTTTCCCAATATAATTATATATTACATTTTTATACTTGTACATAAAGTTGTTCCTACATTTAAAATGTTTAACATTTTTTTATCACACTGCAATCAGTTCGAATTTTTAAGCTACTTATAATCTCTTACATGAAACGATAAATTTTTCTGTTGTATTTCTGACATGCATCGCTTTCAAATATTAATAAATAATTTTCATCATGAATAATTTTATGAATTAGAATAATTATTAATTGTTGTAATTGTTTACTAGACACAACTGCAGAATGACAATTTATTATTTCATGCACACAAACAATTACTATCACAAACAAATAATTGCTAATAACGTTTATTAATACTGAATCTAAATAAAACTATTTCCGAATACATTTTTAGAGCTAAATAGCTAAAATTAACATTTCAAATTTCAGCGGAGTCAAATATTTTCACCCACATTCGCAAACTGACTGCTCTTAATTAACTACTGAGAATAAGTAGTTATTTCCTCTATCGGCTTATAACTTCCCTAAATAAAAGTTAATTAAGTTTATTGCAGTTCCTACAATAACTCGGAATTGAATTCTGGATGCTTCAATTGAATTGAGTTGCCATCTTCATAACTTGAGTGAACAGCCTGATGAATTGTTTCCCCGGCGCCTTCTTGATGCCTGAGGCATTGGTGTGTTTATTTACGTGATTAAAACTAAACCAGAATGTTAATAGAGTAAGAATATGTCAATCTTTTGTTCCTTGAAACTTCGGGGCTCTTTTGAAAGTTTTAAGTGCAAGCATTGAGTTAACAGTTTGAAAGACGTTAGCTTTTCAGGAAAATATTAGAGATATGGCATTTTCGTTCATGTGTTGTCACTGTGAAGGATAAACAAATGATTTTAGAATATGAATTGCTTTCACACAAACTTTTAGAAGAATGATAAAGAAACTTGTCCATTACTTTTTTTAAAAAATAATTTCGAAGAATTTATTATTTTTAACTAAGGAATGCATATATATATATATATATATATATATGCTTTCTTAAGATATTTGACTACTTTCGGGCATCGTGATTTTGAGATAATCACACACACGCACACATATAAAAAGTAATTTTTTTTTGTTTTGATGTTTATTGTCATTTGAATTTGAATATACACATACGATAATTTTAAAAGAATGTTTTAAAAAAAACAATTTATTTAAATACAATTCTTTTGTTAAAAGTGAATAAAAAATGACATATTTTCGAAATATTTTCTTTTTATGAAAAATGTTCCGACAATAAGAATATATTTTGCTTATATATAGCTAAGACTTTTCTGTAAACCTGAAGTATTATTTTTGAAACATTCAGATTATATTTTCACAGTTACTACTAATGGAACTAGTAACCGGTGTTTTTTGTTATAATTTCTGTTTTGTGATGTATTAAATATGAATGAACCCACACTTCTAAATTATATATTTCAAAAGTCCTAGTTCAGGCTCGTTAAAGGAGTTTTAGCTATATTTAGGAAAAGTAATATTTTTATAGATATATTTTCAATCAAAAGTAGATTGTTCCAAAAATATTCTGTTCTTTCTTCATCTTTTCCCAAGAAATACCACCATACCATATTTTTTATTGTAATAGTAGTCTTAAATGAGTTATATATATATATTCTAATTCACGTGACATTAAATATTAAAACACATTATTGAGATCTATGAACTTTTTCAAAATGAAGGTTCTGAAAGAAGTCGGATACCTTAAGCCTTGTTATTTTTTAAATATCTTACTGTGTTTATTGGCTTTGTTTTATCTGATGTATTCTTATTATTTCATGTTGATACATAAGCAATTTATTTTAAGTATGTGTAACTGAATAATAATTTAAAATTGATTAAACACAAATAATTCTTTTGTATTTATTAAAATTTTAGTGCAAACATGTTTAGGTTCAAGTAAAGTCGTTATTTAAAACAGAGAATGTAACATTGTTAATAATAATTATTATTTAAATATTCTTTACAATATGTATTTTGTATTCTATTTTTTATATATAATCAATGAAGTTAATACTTCACTTTCTCTATCATATTTTGAAAAGTTTGTCTGTTAAAAAATTCAAATTACAAATTAATAAAATAGATTTTAAGTAGTTTTTAATAATTAAGTAGTCTTAATAGTTTTTATGCAATGTTTCTTAATCTTTGGCTACAATTTTATGTGCACATGACTATAATTTATACATTTATGAAACATCAGATTTACAACAGGTTTATTAATTGAAAAGTTGTTCAAAAAACATTTAAAGTGTTTTGAAACAAATATAAATTATGTTATTTCTGAAGAGATCTGACATATTCGATGTAGCAGTATATAATTTTGCTAATAATTTTTAAATAAGAAGCAAACTACAATGAAAGAAAAAAAAACAATTAAAATAAAGCTTGTGCCGTCAGCTTAAGATTTTCTTACATATCTGAAGGGTTTAAATGGTATAATACATCAATAGTGAAAAGTTTAAGTGAATTTTTACACGTAATTTTTACTTCCAAAAAGTTATAATTTTCTATTTTTAAGCTAGATATTGTAAAGTTCAACGAAGATAATTGAAGGGAATTCGAATATAAGCAACATAAACTGATATGTTTTCAAAAATATTTCTTGCACTTCTAAACAAATATATTTTTAAAACCATTTTTTTAAATATTACCATACATTTTAAGGAAAAACTTTTTAATGCCATATTTGCTAACGCAAATTGCTAAAAATATGCTATAACGCGATCTGTTTTACTCTTTTTACCCTTTTATCTACCACATTATGTTTTACTGCAGTTTTTTTTCAGGCAATATTTTGTTTTGAATTACTACATTGAAAATTAAGAGATATACACAAACGAAATACTCAACTTTGAGGAATTTAATTAGTTAGAGCTAATTAATTAAATATATACAATTTAAAAATTAATTGTACACGCAGTTTACTTAAAATAAATATTCATATCGTTTTATAAGGTCTTCATTAACATATAAATAAATAAGGCACTTATACTTTGCCATTAACTATTTTTCGGAATAAAAATGACAACTATCGCAATCCGCTGAAAACGCAATTCCTTCTGTACAACATTCTTCTTCCCCGCTAAAATACTCATCATAGAACCCGTGCTGCCTTATATCTTGGAAGAGTAGATTTAAAAGAAAATTCCTGCTAAGTATCGTCAGGGTATTGGTAAAAATGTTTATTCTATGTAATTTTAAAGTGAGTGGTACTTATAAGTACCGTCGGTAAATAAAGGGTTAACATAAATAAAATAGTGATAGCTGAATAATCATGGTTGCGAAATCGTTGGTGGAGTAATTTTTATCGAATCATGGATTCCAATCCAGTGCTACTGAAGAACCTCCGTTTAAAAAAGCTGTTACACTTTAAACCTATCCAGATTCAAACTCCTTACGCTGGCG